TGAGGCAGAGTCTCAAGCTCTCGCCCTTGGTAGAGTGCTGTAGTGTCACAGCTCATAGCAACCTCAAACTCTTGGGCTTAAGTGATTTTCCTGCCTCAGCCTCCCAAGTAGCTGGGACTATACGCGCCCACTACAACTTCTGGCTATTTTGTTGTTGTTGTTGCAGTTGTCACTGTTGTTTAGCTGGCCTGGGTCGGGTCTGAACCCCCCGCCCTCGGTGTATGTGGCTGGCACTGTCACAGCTGTGGTATGAGTGCAGAGCCCCATGCTTTGTTTTGACGTTCTTCCTACTGACCTCCCTGACCATTTCTGCTCTTTTCTTTATCTCCTTTTTTTCCCTGGCCAAAGTGGTTTAGCCAGGAAACTAAACTCAGTTCCTTGCTCTCTGCTTTTCTTTTCTCTTCTCTACCTTCTCCTCTTCTGGGAACTTCCAAATCTCTATCTGAAGCTTTGGTAAGTCTACTCTAGTCTCCTATATCCTGTGAGTTACTGTTACCACCTCCTGTTGGTTACTTCATCCAAAACATCTTCTTACATTCCTTTTGGTCCAATTATAAGCACGCTAATCTTGTCATTGCCCCATACATAAAAATACTGCGTAGCCTTCCAGTTGGTTTTCTGGCCTTCAGTTTTCCTTTTCCTAATGTATCCCATACAGTGCCATTAAAACTTCTCAGGATACCACTTTCACAATGTCATCCCTCTGTGGAAAAATTCTCTGCCTGTAAGATCCAACTTGCATTTTTCTTTTATAATCACAGTTCATCTATTCAGCTGAATTTTTCTCACTAGAGTTCTAGTCACATGGTTTTTCTTTCTGCCCCTCATTCTACCTTTAAGTCTTTACTGCCCTTATTTCCACCTTCAGGCTCTTACTGTGACTCCAGCCCCTTCAAACACTCTTTTATCCTTTAGAAAACTGCTTATGTTCAACTTAAGTATCTTCCTTCATTCCAATTTACTATGCTATTTGCTGTCTGAAAATTTCAAATGCAGTCACCATATATTGTACATTTAGTATAACTTTAAACAATATATGCATACATAGTCATTGATAAAGATATTGTAGGTGTTTAATAAGACAAAAATAATAAGTTTATGCTTAGTGAGCTCTTTCTGTGAGGAAACTGGCATAATTAGTTCCACATAATAACAGATATAATCTACTTAATCACTCTATGAGCAGGAACAAGATTAATCCCAATTTACAGATGAGGGATAACGTAGAGAAATTAAGTAATTTGGCCAAGTATATAAAATTATAAGTTAAAAATTATTTGAATACAAAATATACAAAACAGTTAAACAAATCACTCTCCAACAAAGTTTTTGCCAGTGTATCTTTAATGCTAAATTAGCAAGTAATGTATTAATGACATTTACTGTATGTGTTAGTAAGACATGCTGTAGGTTGTATTGATATTACTGTTTTTTTGTGGATGAAAAATGGTTGAATATGAGCAATTTCTTTTGGTTCAACCTGATCGTTTTTTAGTTTAAATGTTACTCCGTGCTAGAACCCAAAGGAGATACGTCTCACAGAGAGGAAGCCATACTTACTGAGAAGCGAGGCGAGGCCGGCGCAGGGATATGGTCTGGCTGTATTTCCATGATCGATTTTTCTGGCGATTTCGTACCCCATCTTCCTGGTCCATCATCTGCTCTAGGAGTGTCTGATCATCTGCATTCAGAGGGGCCACAGAGATGTCCCGCACAGCACGGAATTCACCACAGTTATTCAGATGTTCATTTTCCAGGCGAAAGAAGTTCCACACAAATCGCCTTAGCAAAATGGAGTAGATCAAACAAATTACTTATAAAATTTTAATATACTGTTACTACCTGTAAACCTTCCAGAATATTAAGTTTCTACTTATGGAAACAAAAACAAAGAATTAAAGGCTAGAATGTTAAAATAAAATAGGAAAAGATGGTGTAGAGGTGGGAGAAAGGGAAATAAGAGTGAACTATACAAAAGGGAGGGTCTCAGAGAATGCAGTTTTAGAGTATCCATTCTTTTACTTTATTCAACAAATACTGAACACCTACTCTAAGGCAGGAAAAGGCATGGAACAAGACAAAGTCTCTGCTATTATAAGGTGTAATTTCCAGAGACAAATAACAAGCAAGAAAATAATCAATTGGTTAAGGATAAGCAGCTGGAAGAGAATAAAGAGGACAAGGAGGATGAGAATGCCATCTGAAGACTGATTAGGGAAGCTTCTCTGAGGAGATGGCAGCCAGCAAAGACCGGGATGACACAACACAGCAAGTCAGGGAATAACCTTAGAGAAGTGTCCCAGGCAGAGGAAATGGCACGTATAAAAAGCCCCAAGCTGGAAAGGCCTTTGGTGTACTGAAATAACGAGCAAGGTCAGTGGGGCTAGTCCAGGAAATAAAGATAGAAAAGGTAGAAAAGGGCTCGTCTATAGAGAACCTTATGAACTATAGCAAGGGGGTTACATTTTAGATCTGATGGAAAACAATGAGAGTTCTGAGCAGGAGAATAAAGTGATTTGTTCTAAAAAGATCATTCTACCTGCTGAAAGGTGACGAGCTCACAGGATGACAAGACAGCTGAAGAAAAACCAATTAGAAGGTTGTTGCAGCCTGATGCAGGATGTGAGTGTTAGGGTTTTGGGTCTGAGGGAATGGTGACACCATTTGCTAAGACTGGAGAAGCAGGGTTGGTTGCTCCTGTTAGGCTAGAGCAACTCATTAGATATCCAAGTGAAGAATTCAATAGATGGACAGACAAGAGTCTGCACTTCAAGGGAAGATTTAGGGCTGGAGACAGCTTAAGGACAATATTTCAAAACACTGGCTTAGGAATAACATTACTGTAGGAAAGAAAAAAGCAAAGGATTAAACCCTGAAACACTCTAACACTCATAGTTTGGGAAGAGAAAGAAGAACCAGCCAAGGAGTGGAGTAGAAATAGCTAGAAAGACAGTGGAATGTAATTTCTGAGAAGTGAAGAAAGTATTTGCTGAAAAGTAAGGTAAGTACAAAAAACTGACCATGGGATGTAGCAAAATAGACAGGCAGTATGATCTAAAAGCATAGACTCTATTGTATACACTTCAGAATAGCTGGAAAAGAGGCTGGGACAGTGGCTCACACCTATAATCATAGCACTCTGGGAGGCCAAGGTGGGGGGATTCCGTGTGTTCGTCAGTTCAAGACCAGCCTGAGCAAGAGCAAGACCCCATCTCTATGAAAAATAGAAAAACGTGCTGGGCATTAAGGCATGCGCTTCCAGTCCCGGCTACTACGGAGGCTGAGGCAGGAGGATCGCTTGAGCCCAGGAGTTCAAGGTTATCGTGAGCCTCCATACTCTAGCTGTCTAGAAGAGACTCAGTTTCAAAAAAAGAATAGCTAGATAAGAATTTGAATGGTTCTAGTATAAAGAGAAGGCAAATATTTAAAGTGATGGATAGTCATCACTGATTTGGATCATATACTAATTTAGTCTTTACAAATTATATGAGTATATTAAATTATCACATGTGCCCTGAAACTATGTATATCTAAAAAAAGAGGCTACAGAAGTAGAGTTGTACATTTACAGAAATGTGGCCTATCAAAAAAGGCCAGGTGGATTAACGGCCTAAACAGGAATAGCAAAATAGAATCTGCAGGATTGATAAGATAATTTTATAAAACAGTGACAGGGAAGGATTGTCAAAATAAAATATGAGTGGTAAAAACCACAAAGAAAAAGATCAGTACATTTTTTTCACAATAAAATTTAAAACATAATAAAATTTGTCTTCGTAGATGATGTTAAAAGACCGGTTCCAGACTGAGAAAAAAATTTTCAACAGTCAACAAAAAATTATTACACCAAATATGCAAAAATTTCCTATATTACAGCTTGAAAAATATTCATTTTTTTCTTTATGGATATCCAACTGAGTCAATATCATTTCTTAAAGGGTCTTTTTATTTTTCCACTATTACGTAGCAACTTAAGTCATAAATCAGACAGTGCTGACACACGTGTGGATTTGTTTCTGGAGCCCTTGTTTGGTTCCAGTGTCGATTCTTTCACCAATATCGAATCTTACTGTGTCTGTACAATTAGTCTACAAATCTAAGTCTGATCTAAGTCTTTTAATTTTGTTCTTTTCAGGATAGTTTAGGTCATTCTTGACCCTTTTGTTTCCATATAAATTATAGAACTAGCTAGTCAATTTTCTCATATATACACCTCTTCAATTAGATTTGTTTCTAGGTATATTATATCTGATATATTCTGATGCCACTTAAAATGAATATGGCTTTTAAAATTTCTTTTTGTGACTGCTATGACTTAATAAACAACATATTTATATTGACCTCATGCACAGGGACACTTTGACATTCAATTATTCATTATAAATCTACTGAATTTTCTGCATGTATACAAGTCATAATATATAATTATTATAGTTTATAACAGCATAATAATTGTAATTTTGCTTTTCTTTTCCAATTCTGTATTTTCTTTTCCTCACTAGCTATACTTGCAGCACAGTGCTAAATATAAGTAGTGAAAGCATACATACTTGTCTCATTCTGGATCTCAAGGGAAAGCTTGCAGTGTTTTATTGTTAAATATGATCTTGATCATTTTGTAGAAAACATTCTTTTCATGAATAAGTATTGACTTTTATCAATGGCGTTTTCTATATATTTCCCCCCTTTATTCTGCTAATGTGGTAAGTTTAAATAGATTGATTTTGAATATTAAATCTTATATTCCTAGAATGAACCTAATTTGTGACGTATTATCTGTTTTTTTTTTTTTGCAGTTTTTGGCCAGGGCTGGGTTTGAACCCACTACCTCTGGCATATGGGGCCAGCGCCCTACTCCTCTGAGCCAGAGGTGCCACCCATATTATCCTTTTTATATATTGTTGGATGCATTAATTATTTTCTTCAGCATTTTTACAACTCTGTACATAGGACAGATTAGTCTTTATTGGAATGTCATGGTAGTTTAGATAGCAAAAGTCATGCTGGCCACATAAAACAAATTAGGAAGTAGTCCTTTTTTTACTCATTCTCCCTGGAAGAGTTTTGTGTAAAATTGGTAATACTACTTTCTCAAATATTTAGAAGAATTCTCTTGGCATGGAGTTTTCTTTATGGAAAGTATTTTAACATGAATTTAACTTCTTTAATAGATATAAGCTTATCAAAGTTTTATTTTTCTTTATTGGTTCTGGTAAACAATACATTTTGAGGAATTTGTTCATTTATCTAAAATTTTTTTTTGAGACAGAGTCTCACTTTGTCACCCTCACTCAAGTGCTATAGCGTCATAGCTCAAAGCAACCTCAAACTCTTGGCCTCAAGTGATTCTTTTGCCTCAGCCTTCTAAGTAGCTGAGACTATAGGCAACTGCCACATGCCTGGCTAGGGTTTTGCTCTTGCTCAGGCTGGTCTCAAACTCCTGAGCTCAAGCAATCCACCTGCCTCAGCCTTCAAGAGTGCTAGGATTACAGGTATGAGCCACTGTGCCCCGGCCATTTATCTAAATTTTTAAATCTATTGGCATCAAGCTGCTTGTTACCTTCTCTTTAAAAAAAAAAAATTAGAAATGGGGTTGTTTGTTCTTTTGTTACTGAATTTGAGTTCTCTGTGGAGTCTAGTTATCAGACCTTTGTTAGAATCATAATGTGCAAAAATTTCCCATTCCAAAGGCTGTCTGTTTGCTTTACTTGTAGTGCCCTTAGCTGTATAGAAGCTTTTTAGTTTCATCAGATCCCAGTAAGACATTTTTGGTGTTACTTCAATTGCCAGGGGGTCCTCCTCAAAAAATATTTTCCTAAGCCAATATCTTCAAGTGTGCAAATCAAAACCACTTTGAGATATCACCTAACTCCAGTAAGATTAGCCTAAATCAGAAAATCCCCAAACTGCAGATACTGGCATGGATATGGAAAGAAAGAAACACTTCTATACTGCTGGTGGGACTGCAAACTAATACAGGCTTTTTGGAAAGAAGTATGGAGAATTCTCAAGGAACTAAAAGTTGACCTACTATTTGATCCTGTGATTCTATTACTACGTATCTACCCAGATGAACAAAAATCACTTTACAACAAAGACATGTGCACCAAAATGTTTATTGCAGCCCAATTCATAATTGCTAAGTCATGGAAGCAACCCAAATGCCCATCAACCCATGAACAGATTAACAAATTATGGTATATGTATACCATGGAATACTATGCAGCCATAAAAAGATGGAGACTTTACATCTTTTATGTTTACCTGGATGGAGCTGGAACATATTCTTCTTAGTAAAGTAACTCAAGATGGGGAAAAAGTATCCAATTTACTCAATACTATTATGAAACCAATATATATTTGCTTACACATTCACATGAATGATAAAACATAAATGTAGTCCACAAAGAAAGAGAAGAGAAAAGGGAGAGGGGAGGGTGAGCAGAGGCAGGGTATTTGGTGGGATCTCACCCAATGTGCACAATGCAAGGGCACATTTCAAAATAAGTAAGAGTATATTATAAATTATGTCTCACCACAAAAAACAAGTAAGTGAGGTGACGGTTATGTTAATCAGTTTGATTTAAGCATTCCACATTGTATATCAAATCATCACATTGTACCCAATAAATGTATACAGTTATGATTTAATAAAAGTTAAATTTAAAAAAATATAAAAATACCTTTAGGATTTTTAATAGTCATAATTTGTACCTTCTATCCTTTTTCACTTGTCTTACTTAAGCATTTTATCTTTTTTTTTTTTGGAGACAGAGCCTCAAGCTATCCCCCTGGGTGGAGTGCCATGGCGTCACAGCTCACAGCAACCTCCAACTCCTGGGCTCAAGCCAGTCTCCTGCCTCAGCCTCCCGAGTAGCTGGGACCACAGGCGCCCGCCACAACGCCAGCTATTTTTTGGTTGCAGCTGTCATTGTTTGGTGGGCCTGGGCTGGATTTGAACCCACCACCTTAGGTGTATGTGGCTGGCGCCTTAGCCACTTGAGCCGCAGGCGCCGAGCCTAAGCATTTTATCAATAGCATAAATCTTTTAAAACAACTAACTTTGGCTGTCTTAATTTTCTCTATCTTTGTTTTCTCTTCCATTAATTTTTATGTTTTACATTTCCTTCCTTCTGCTTTCTTCTGGGTTTGATTTGCTATTTTCTAAATTTTTTAATTTCCTGAGCTGTATACTTTTCTGATACATACATCTAAGGTTATACATTTCCCTCTAAGCATAGTTTTAGCTGCATTTTACATTTTCTTTTATCACCTTATCTATTTGATTCTGTTCAAAATCAAAATTTCAAAATTTGGGTGGTGCCTGTGGCTCAAATGAGTAAGGCGTGGGCCCCATATCCCAGAGCTGGCGGGTTCAAACCCAGACCCAGCCAAAAACTGCAAAAAAATAAAAAAAAATTCAAAATTCACATTACAATTTCATCTTTGATGGAGGATTATTAAATGTGTGCTGCTTACTATCCAAACATTTGGGAATTTTTAATTATCTTTTTGTGATTTTAATTCTCTAAAATTTGTTGAGACTTCCTTTTTGGCCCTGTATAGGGTTAATTTTGGTAAATGTTCTATATGCATTTAAAAGAATGTATATTTACCTATCTATTTTTGAGACAGAGTCTCAATCTGTTGCCTAGGCTAGAGTGCCATGACATTACCTAGCTCACAGCAATCTCAAACTCCTGTGCTGAAATGATCCTCCTGCCTCAGCCTCCTGAGTAGCTAGAACTACTGGTGCCCACCACAACACCCGGCTAATTTTTCTATTTTTAGTGGAGATGGAGTCTCACTCTTGCTCAGGTTGTTCTCGAACTCCTAAGTTCAAAGAATCCTTCTGCCTCGGCCTAACAATGTGTATTTAATAGTTATTGGATGAGTTCTATGTATATTAATTAGGCCAAATTATTGGTTAACTACTATTTATCTATTATTGAAGCACTAAAATTGTAAATTCATCTACTTCATAGTAAAGCCAATTTTTGCTTTATAAATTTTTTAGTTATGTTATTAGGTACAGACAAATTTGAATTGGCAATCACAACTGAATGCAAGTTTGGCAAATTTCTTTAGTGCAAAAGTGGCTTCAGTGCTCTGTTTGTCTTGGGGTTTCTAGTCTTACTTAGATTAGGAGCTATCCTGTCAGATTGCTAATGCTTTTAGGGAGATATGAGAAACATTTTATTCATCATTTTTATAGTTTTCAGCGAGAAGGTAAGACTGAAGAACCCAGACTGCCAAATTGAAAAAAATGATTCTCAAAAAATTTTAATTTCTGTTCTAAGCCTTTTTGTCTCCCAGTTTCCACTTATCATCCTTCTAGCAGAACCCAATTTTCAAAAAGCCTATTTATCATCAATAGGCATTTTAATTTGGCAAGAATCAATCTCTAAGTCCTGTAAGTAGGAGTTTCCAGCCCTGAAGCTAATGAGGAGTTTGAAAAAAGCTGGAAAATTTAAGCTTTTCAAGTATAAGTTATAATAAATTCTACTTTGTAAGTAGTAGGTGTATTTTAGGTGAAAAGAATCTTTGAAAAACTTTTCAGTAGTTTGCTTACCGGAAAACCTCAAGGGGAGCAAGGACAGTACCAATGATATCCCCAGAATGAGCCATCGAAGTTGTAGTGGTAATGGAGATTTGGATAGTCCAAGCAAAGCGCAGTATCACATCCTCTATTATGGCACAGTAGTAGTAAGCCTGAGGAATAATAAGCAAATTGAGTACAGTCCCTATCATAACTATTATACATATGCACATCTATCAGTAAGAAGACTCACCCATGTCATACCAATAAGCATAGGTTCAAGAAAAGTTGCATTTTATTTTATTTTCCAGGGAAGTACACATTTTAGTAAGAATTTCCACCAATTTAATTTTTTCTTAAATAGTACAATATTCAAAAAGAAGTTATTACTGAATTTTGTAATCATTTAACAAACATATTTCATTCCCATATTGTATACAAGGCTTTCTTCTAGGCTCTAAAAACAAGCCAGACAAGATCTTTGATCAAGTGAGATTATGTTATATATGTTATAACTTAATAGCTAGTATAGAAAAAGGAAAAAGGGAGGGGAGGGAAGGGGGACGGATGGGTGAAGGGAGGGTGATTGGTGAGATCACGCCTATGGTTCATCTTATAAGGGTACATGTGAATCTTTCTAAATGTAGAATATAAATAAATGTCTTAACACAATAACTAAGAAAATGACAGGAAGGCTATGCTAACCAGTTTGATGAAAATATTTCAAACTGTATATAAAAACAGCACACTGTACCCCATGATAGTATTAATGTACACAGCTATGATTCAATAAAAAAAGAAAAAAAAGAAAAAGTTAGCAGATTTATTAACTGTGTTATTTGTACTTTTATTCTCTAACTGCCTTCCCATTCAGTAAATAAAATTAAGTGTGGCTTTCACAAACATGATTGAATTTAAGAAATGTTCTCTTTTTACATAGAAGACAGTACTTAACTAATACTTTCAGGTACTAATATCCATTTAGGAGTACAGTTTTGGCTACACAAAAAGTCTTAAATGCACAAATTGCCAACAGACCAGAACTATAATCTATGAATTTCTTCATTATTAATCTCTAAGAAACTGGCTATTTTTTTAGTTTATTTGAGACAGGGTCTTGCTCTGTTGTTCAGGCTAGAGTAGATCATAGCAACCTCAAACTCCTGGGTCAATCAATCCTCCAGCCTCAGCACCTCCAGTAGCTGCGACTACAGGTGTATACCACCATGCCCAGCTAATTTTTCTATTTTTTGTAGAGATGGGGTCTCACTCTTGTTCTCGCTGGTCACAAACTCTGGGCCTTAAGCAATCCTGCCTCAGATTCCCAGAGCTAGGATTACAGGCTTGAGCCACTGTGCCCCGTCAAAACTGGCTCTTTAAATATATGTATTTAAAGACTGAAGTCTTTTGGAAAACAGAACTGCCATGTATTAAGCCATACTATTTATTTTATCTAAAACAATTTTTTTTCTTTTTTTTTTTTGAGACAGAATCTTAACTGTCACCCTAGGTAGAGTGCTGGCATAGTTCACAGCAACCTCAAACTCTTGGGCTCAAGCAACTCTCTTGCCGCAGTTTTTCATTTTTAGTAGAGATGGGGGTCTCACACTTGCTCAGGCTGGTATCAAACTTGTGAGCTCAAGCAATCCACCAGCCTCGGCCTCCCAGAGTGCTAGGATTACAGGCATTGAGGCACCACACCTGGCCTTACCCAAAATTTTTTTAACAAAGTAATACTAGTCATTGTGAAAAGGCTATTATAAAAAAACCTAGTAGTCTCCTTGCTACTTCCATTCCCTGGAGACAAATGTTTTTAAAATCTGTAGTGATTACACTATTTATGCTCTATATTTAACAGTGTATGTATACTGTTATATCTTGATGACTCAATTCTAGATAATTGCTGATTAAATTTTATGAGGATTATGATGAAGTTTTTAACACATTCATATACTTCCCCATTACCTCTGCCATCCTCCAATATAGTGATAATACAATTTTTAGATAAATCTACAGCTTACACCTTATCAGGCCTAAGTGAAGAACTGCAATTTCATGTCTTTTTTTCTTTTCTTTGAGAGAGTCTCAGTCACCCTGGGTAGAGTGCTGTGGCATCACAGTTCATAGCAATCTCAAACTCCTGGGCTCAATGATCTTGCCTCAGCCTCCCAAGTGCCTGGGATTACAGACACCCACCACAGATCCAGGCTAGTTTTTCTATTTTTTAGTAGATACAGGGTCTTGCTCTTGCTCAGGCTGGTCTCAATCTCCTGAGCTTCAACAATCCACCTGCCTCAGCCTCCCAGACTGCTAGGATTACAGGTATGAGCCACAGAGCCCGGCAATTTCACGTGTCTTTAATGGCTAGTCTTTTTTTTTTTTTTAATTTAATTATTTAATTATTATTACTTTTTTGAGACAGAATCTCACTTTCTTGCCCCCAGTAGAGTGCCGTGGCATTACAGCTCACAGCAACTTCAAACTCTTGAGCTACAGTGATTCTTTTTTTTGAGACAGAGTCTTACTTTATCACCCTCAGTAGAGTGCCATGGTGTCTCACAGCAACCTCCAACTCTTGGGCTCAAGCAAATTCTCTTGCCTCAGCCTCCCAAGTAGCTGGGACTACAGGTGCCTGCCATAACGCCCAGCAGTTTTTTTAGAAAAGAGATTTCACTCTTGCTCAGGCTGGTCTCAAACTCATGAGCTCAGGCAGTCCACCCATCTCAGCCTCCCAGAGTGCTGGGATTACAGGTGTGAGCTACTGAGCTCGGCCTTAACAGCCAGTCTTAAGCTGTCTGCAATGACTGACATAGGAGGTAATGTCACCAAAAATGTGACCATCTTTTGGGAGGAATACACTTACCTTGAGACACAGAAAAGTTAAGTTTGAATACAGAGATGACAAAAATAGTTCTTGACTGAGGTGTGGTGCTCAGTATACTAAGAACTGATGCTAAGGTTCGTGTAGTTGTGTTCTTAACTTTTAATGAGGCCCCACTGGACTCCATACTTTTCAAATGTGATGATTTTTATTCCAATATTTGACTTTGTAAAACTGAAGGGAATGTGGCGATCCAGCAGAACATTTTTTTTTTTATAAATTTGCAAGTTACAATGTAAGAAAGTACATACTTTATTTTCTAGGATTATGAAAATATGAAGATTCTGTTCACTAGTTTTAACAGAAACCAATATGAGGGAGAACAGATTAACATTTATGTAAAGAAACAGTTTATCTAAGCAATCACCATAATAAGAAACAAATGTTAACTCACAGTAGAGCAAAAGCAATAATAAGCAGCCATAAAATACACACAGTTGTGTATATAAGGGCCATTTTTATTTGAGCTTGTGTCTGTCCTTTGATTACTGATTTTCTTTTCAAAAGAAATTTATAAAAATGTCTAATGTCTTACCGTCTAATGTCATTTTGTCTTAATTTTCATAGTGGGGTTATTGCTATATAGTTCAGGTAAAAAAGATCACTGTCAACAAATGCACCCTTTTCCCTTTCATTTGCTCATCTGAAGTTAACCTATGTATCCTTCTTTCTATTCACTCTCCTATTACTTATCTTCAGTCCTCACACTTGAAAAGAGCCCTCCCTACTCACCAACTGAATATTACAAACTTCAGTAGGGTGCCATGGTGTCACAGCTCACAGCACCCTCAAACTCTTGGGCTTACGCGATTCTTCTGCCTCAGCCTCCCAAGTAGCTGGGACTACAGGCACCCACCACAATGACTGGCTGTTTTTTGTTGTAGTTGTCATTGTTGTTTAGCAGACCTGAGCCAGGTTCAAACCCACCAGCCCTAGTGTATGTGGCCGGTGCCCTAACCACTGATCTATGGGTCCTGAGCCAGTATAAAATTTAGTTACCCAATCTATACTTCCCTCTCATCACAGAATTTTAGGACTGAGAAAAGATAAAAGAGATAATACCCTTACCTAGTCTAACACCATTACCTCATAACAAAGAATCCGCTGTATAGTTTGGTTGGCTAAAGTTATAAAGCTAATCAGTGAAAAAACTGGGATTAGAATTCACATGTCAGGATTCCCAGTGCATTGTTTAATTTCTGTCAAGGTCTCATCATATTTATCCTTCAATAAAACATCTGAGCAAAGACAGTTTTCATTTTCTGACTTTTTAATGTATATAGGTAAAATCGTAAGATAATTCCTAAAGAATTCTCTGTATTTTCTGATTGAATTGGCACTTGATTTTTAACAAATACTGGTTGAAACAAATGAAAGAAGCCTTCTTGACACTCAAGCAGAGTCAGGCATTCCCTTTCCTCTGTGCTTTCATGACACTGCTTATTTAGTCAAGTGTTTATTCATTCATTCTGTAAACATGCTGAATAGTGAGGGATATGAACATCTGAATGGATAATTGTAGAACACAATGTGATAACTGCTATAGAAGGGAAGTTTATATAGAGTAAAAAAAGATTAGGATGGATAGCTAATGCTAGGAAAAATAAAGAAAGGCTTCTTAGAAGCAGTAACATTTAAACTAACTTTTAACTAACTTTGAGGCAGTAACATTTAACTTCTTAGAGGCAGTAACATTTAAACTAACTTTTAACTAACTTTGTCTATTACTATAGACAAAGGAGAAAGTAGATGTTTCAGATGCAAGGCATTCCAAGTTCAAAAATAAATCAAGCTGGGTGCAGTGGTTCATGCCTAGCACTCTGGGAGGTTGAGGTGGGTGGGTTGCCTGAGCTTGTGAGTTTGATAGGAGCCTGAGCAAGAGTGAGACCTTGTCTCAACTAAAACTAAAAAAACTAGCCAGGCATTGAGGAGGGCATCTGTAGTCTCAGCTACTCAGCAGGCTGAAGCAAAAGGATCGCTTGAGCCCAAGAGTTTCAGGTTGCTGTGAGCTACGGCACCCTGCACTCTAACCTGGGGCAAGAGTGACACTCGGTCTCAAAAAAAAAAAAAATCATACTACAATTAAATTATTCTTCTATTCTAGTTTTTGCCATTTGTTTATGTATCTGTATCTGTTAGTAGTTTATGGCCTTTTATGAGAACCAGAATTTTATTTTGTATTCCCTACAGTGCCTAGCATATAGTAAACATTTGATACATTTTGGTAATTATTTTTCTAATCATATCAGATTAATATAATCAGAGATTAGGTATGTACTACAAGAAGACATCTAGTGGCACATCTGAGTTTTTCTTTTTAAGTAAGTAAAAATATTCTTTGTACATACTTTTTGTGGGTATACAATCTCTTCCCGGAGGAAAGTGTTTTCTCCAGCATTCTTATCAAACAGACCCCAGTCCATTTTCAGATCCCAAATGAGGGTATAGCAGGAACTGATGACACAAAAGATGATCCACAGGTAAAAGAACACGATGGTGTCTGAGTGGCCTCGTTCTGAAGAAAGAAAGAGAAGGGGATAAGAGAAAATTACTATGCTTAAATAAAATTCTTTGTTAAATAAAACAAATTAAAAACCAGATTCTTTACAGAGCTCCAAAAGAAAGTTTAAGACTTTAAAAAAATCTTAGGAGGATCACTGTCTAACAAAGGTTAAATAATATGATTCCTCTGAGATCCAAAGTAATTATCATTTATTGAATATGTAATATTTATACAAATGTGCACTTGGTGTTTATGGGGAACACATAAAAATCCAAATGATTGCAAAAACAGTTTGACTGTTACAAAAGATGTCATTTTAATTCTTGCCATCAGGTGGCAGCTTAGGGTAAAATATGAAAAAAAAATCTTGAAACACTAACAAAGAGGAATGTGCTGTATTTGCTTCAAGAAATTCTTGGATTATTTTTACTTTAGAACAACATTTCCTTCACACACTTAGATTTTATCAATACTTTTGTGAAAGCAATCAGATAATTCTGAGTCTGGATATAAATGCCAGAAGACAGACTGATGAGGAATTTACTCCTAAGGATACATATAAAAGCAAATTTCTCTTAAGTCACAAAGCAAAGCATGATATTTTTGTTTCTTTTAGAGGATGTTTATTGAAACAAAGGCCTAATTGGAATTTATGCTGGAAGCACCAAAAAGTAACTTTTGGCTTTAAGCTGAAAACTCTGTAAAACACACTAACTCAGAATAATGATTTACAAATGCAGTTATACAACTTAATATTTTTTGCTCTTAAGTGCTTCATATATTCTCTAATGAAATTCTTCTCTGCTAAGTTCCAGAGTCCTCATGATGTTATAGGTATTCTCTAAGTGAAGGATATAGGTATATAACTGTTAATATGGTTCTGAAACTTTCGGAAAAAAAGACACATAACATCTAATTCAAAAAAGTTTAAATTCTAGTCACATTCTCAAAGATGTAGAAAACAAAAGAAATATCATGCATCATTCATAATCCTTCCTATTAAAACAAGCAAATGTTTACCAATCATTTTATAGGGAAGTACAGTATGATTCAAAGGCACCTTTCAGAAATTCATAATCTAGTAAGTATAAAGGACATTTGTTACTGATGATAAATCTGAACTCAAAACGAAGTACACACAAACGCTATGAGAACATCAAAGAGAATGGGAATGTTTCTAAACGGAAAAAACAAGAGAGTAGCATTTGAGTTATTTCTAGAAGGATAAATAAATAGTATTGCTCAAGTCAGGCAGATGAGATAAGATCATGCAAGGCTGAAGGAAGATAATGAGAAGGGATGGGGACAGGAAGGTGAAAGTGTGTCTGAGAAGCTACAAGTAATCTACAACTATCGTAAGTAATATATAGAGGCTCTAAGAGAATTGATATGATTTGAAATGAAGCTGGAAAAGAAATGTTCAGACTGACTGTGGAATGCCTTCTTGGGCCTTAAGATCAGATCTGTGTTTAGAGAAACAACTGGCTGGCAGGTTACTTGCACTGGAATTACTACTTTGCTGGTTAAAAGAGATAAATATCTCAGAGATCCAGTGTTGTGGGAGAGAGTCAGTTCTTATCAGCTCATGAGAGGCAACTGTCAAATTTTCAGAAACGTTGGCAGCTGGCTGTTAAACAATCATTATTAAAAATTAAATTACATAAATTAATAATTAGTTATATGAAACACAAAGGTAAAGGTAAATACTCGAGATTTATCACTTTCTAATTATTTTACTAACCTTTGCTACCTTTGGTTCTCTTGAGGCTATACACATGTATTAGATCTTTATGATGGAAATACTATATAATGCGCTATATAATGCACATCTTCTCCCATTTCCATATTCAGTGTTACCATCGTAGTAGCCTGAAATTGGCTATGGCGGAAATATTTACACCATGGAAATCAGCCTACAAATAAATGCACTCCATCCCCACTCCCGTACCAGCAAGCACATCACTATTTAGCTATTTCTCTGGGGATGTCAGTGGTAGGAATAAGAAAGATATATTTTTTAAATGGCTCGCAGGTGATTCTAGTGAGCAGCCCAGCTCAATATAAACACATTTTCAGGTTTAAACTATTTCCACAAAAATTTTTCATCATCCACAAAAAACTGAGGCTCAGCACTTTGGAAGGCAGAGCTGGGAGGATAGCTTGAGGCCAAAAGTTTGAGACCATCCTGGGTGACATAATGAGACCCCCCATCTGTTCACAAAACGAAAAATTTAGCCAGGCATGGTGCCATGTGCCTATTGTCCTAGCTACTCAGGAGGCTGAGGTGGGAGGACAGGATGGTTTGAGCCCAGGAGTTCTGAGTTTGCAGTGAACTATCTTCATATCACTGCGCTCCAGCCTGGGTGACAGAGACAAGGCCTGTCTCAAAAAAAACAAAGGTAAGACAAGAAAAAGAGAGAGAAAAAGGAAATTGAGCTGAATATTTACACTCCAAACTACATCATATGAATTACCAATTTAAAAGGTCTAACACATTATTTACTTATTATCTAGGTACAGTTGAATGGGTTCTGACAAGTGTTTATTTCATTCTATACAAAGATATAGGGTCTGAGTAGTATCATTCAATAATTAGCATCATGACTGCATTAAAAAGATGCTATAATTCACCTACTACAGTTTGCAAAGAATAAAGCAAATTAGGCAACTTAATAAAATTTACTTTTATATTTACAAAACAAGATCAATCCTAAGAGATTAAAAACAAACACCTATTAATTATATTAGCATCTCTTTTTCAAATTGAATGCTTAATGTGTGCCAGGTACTTTATATATTAGCCTAAATTTAATTTTCTCAACAATAAGCTATCATCTTGTTTGCTAGCAAAATTAGGACATGGGAATAGCGTAGTAATAGATACATCATTAGGAGATAACAAAGTATTTCTCAATTAAGACAAGTTAATATCAAGTCTTATCATTGACAGCTGATTTTCTTCTTTACTAATTACTAAAGAAATAACTGAGAATAAATTAAAATGTAAAAGGAGATGGGAGAGTAAAAAAGTTAACGAAAAAAGGAATTAATAATGAAACTAAAAAATGTGCTAATTTTCTGGTATTTCTCCTAGATTTTAAGTATAAATCTTGTCCTTAGAGCACAATTCTTACAATGGTACAACGGATCAGGGTCTCTCTCTTTCCTAAACCCATATTATTTCTATTACATTTCTATGAAATATACCTGAGGATTTATTGACTTTTAAATAAATATCCTTACAGTATATTTCAGAGTAAGTAAGGTTTATCTCATGGAATGACTAGCATATACCTGGTCTATAAATGCTACATTTTGGTCTCATTTTAATTACTACCCTTATTTGATCTTTCGCATCTCCCAAATGAAGAATGCCTCACCCTGAAAATCATCTCACTTCATTAGTATTCAGGAAAGGCACTGGAAAGATATTATCTCTTTAGGCAAGCAATTACATCTTATTCTCTCTTGGCTAACTGTGGTAGCCCACTTTAGTGATGTTCAGAATCATGGAAAATCAAGTCATTGCTATTCTACCCTAAGCTTCTCTCTATTACATACCTATCGCATTAGAAACATAATTCATATTGGCCATTATTTATAGTAGTGGTATCCACTGAATCTAAAACAAATAAAAATACACTTCTTAGAATTCTACATCCATAACCAAAGGCACAAAGGAAAACAACTACTATTATATTAGAGTGGTGATATTTCAAAAATAATTTTTAAAAATATTTAATGTTTTTATAATATAAAAGTAGTACATAGGAATTCCTCTATTCATTCAACTGTTTACTGAGTGCATAGTAAAGATTAACTCTAAATCTCTTTTTTCTGTATATTTTTCTGTATATTCTTTTTTTTTTTTTTTTTGAGACGGAGCCTCAAGCTATCCCCCTGGGTAGAGTGCTATGGCATCACAGCTCACAGCAACATCCAACTCCTGGGTTCAAGCGAGTCTTCTGCCTCAGCCTCCCAAGTAGCTGGGACCACAGGTGCCTGCCACAACGCCGGGCCATTTTTTGGTTGCAGCCATTATTGTTGTTTGGTGGGCCCAGGCTGGGGATTCGAACCCGCCACCTTAGGTGTATGTGGCTGGCGCCTTAGCCGCTTGAGCCACAAGTGCCGAGCCTTTTTTCTGTATATTCAACAAACATATAGGTAACCAGATATATCCTAGGGATTGGGGGTGTAATGAAGAATCATCAAAAGCTAAGTCTAAAAGAGGAGAGATAAAGTACACAAAAACACAACACAGAAGTACGACTGTAGAATTGTGCACAGAAAAGAAACCAATAAGCCCAGGCTTTTAGGAGGAGACTAGCAAGAAGAACTTCCTGAAGAAGGTGCTACTTGAGCTGAATCTTGAAAGGACTTGAGTTAAACAGGTTTAGGAAGCAAATAGAGCCATTCAATAGAGTAGAAAGCATTCGTCCATTCAATAAATGAGCACCTGCTATATGCCAGATATTATTCTAGGTACCAGGTACATAGTAGTGAACCTCACTCACTAAGAAACAGGCAAATTCCCTGCTTCAGTAAAGCCTGCTACCTATTAAGGGTAGACAATTATCATACAGACACATGAACAAGATGATCTCACATAGTGAAAAGTACTATGAAGAAAATAAAACAGTTTGATATGACTGATACTGGCAGAGTTCCTCTAGATAGTGTTCAGGTAGAGAAGGTCTCATGAGACTTGAGCAACGAGGAGCCAGCCACATGAAAACCCAGAAGAGGAGTTACGCATGTAACATTCAGTTTTCTAGTTAACGAGGGCAGTGTACTTCTAAATATTGCAGGGGAAATGAGTTTGAGGAGTAAGAAGTGATCAGGACTAGCACTCAGCACAACTATAAGGCACAGAGTGGTAAGACAAAACTGAGAAATATTTAGGAACTAAAATTGGCAGGACTTGGTAAATTCTGAAGGTGAGATAAAAGATGGAGTCAAGAATAAGAATGACCTTTGTTTTTAACCTGGGTGACTAAGTGGTTGGGAACTGA